AGGCTGCCTTTTGGCGCAAGGTTGGCTGAGGCGCTGATTGGTGGGGTCTGAGCTAGGCGGGTGTCGGGTTTTGACGCGATTGGGCCGCAAGGGCGGACCCCGCGGAGCTATCGACGCCAATTGGCCCCTGCCGCACAGGAAATGCCTCCGCAGTGGACAGAACAGACTGCACTCAAAGGTCTGGGCACCGCTCATTGGGCCGGCGCTGGAGGCGTGCCCCCGCCCGCTCGGTGACTGGGCGACGGCCCAGTAGGGACGGCACCTGCGCGGTGATTGGACGCCGGGAGTTCCCGGCGGCCGCGGCGCGCGATCCGAGGGAAGCCGGCCGCATGGGGCGGCGGCGGCCCCGGGGGCCCCGGGGAGACACGGTCGGGGCCCTGCCCGAGGCCATCGCCGCGCTGAGTCAGACGCTGCCCGCCGGGCCCAGCCCCGAGATCTTCCGCCGCGCCAAGTTCGACCGTCCGGAGGCGGTGAGGCCCGCGGGGCAGGCGGCGGGGTCCGGCGGGGGCCCGGGCGGACGCAGGGAGGCGGCTGGCCCCGCTGAATGCCGCTCTTTGATCCCTCCAGGCCCCGGCGCTCTGGCAGCTGCTCTTCCGCGTGCTCTCGCCGCTGCCCCGAGACGGCGCCTCGGCCTCCCCGGCCTCCCCGGCCCTGGGTAAGCCCCACCTTCCCCGTAAGGCCCGCCCGCTCACCGTGAGGTCCACCTGCTCACGCAAGCCCCGCCCCCGGTTAGCCCACCCGCCCCCATTAGCCGCGCCCCAACATTAAGTCACGCCCCCGCGGGCTCCGGCTCTGTCCACTCACAGACCCTGTGGCTGGGTCCGCCTCCTGTAAAGCTCCAGCCCGGTTAGCCCCGCCTCCCTGGTAAGAACCCGCCCCTGCGGACCTTGGCCCCGCCCACTCCACCTCCTCGGGCAAAGCCCCGCCCACCGTATAAGCCCCGCTCCCATTAGCCCTGGCCCCCTCCTCCTGAGTCCCGATTGTTCCCTCCAAACCTGGCTTCTGCTTGGGAGTCATGCGGGGTCTCTCCCAGTGGGCGGCCCCCTGAGCAGGCGGTCTCCCCATCCCCAGAGGCCCAAGTCCACCTGGTGAAGTCGGCGCTGCGCTCCCAGGGCTACCCCAGGAGGGCGCTGGCGCAGCTCCCCGAGGACGGCTCCCAGGGCAGCCGCGAGCTTCTGCTGGCCCTGGCCTGGCTCCTGGCCCGCGGGCCCCTGCTCGAGCAGCTGCTGGCCCAGACGCGCGTGCGGCTGGGCGACGAGATACCCCTGTGCGAGGTGCGTATGCTGTGAGGGGGCGTGGGACTAGTCCTGGCGGGGAGCCTGGGTTCAGCCTGGGCCAGCCCTCAGGGCAGCCCTGTGGGGGTCGGCATTGCCATCCCCCTGCTCCCGCCTTCTTCCTGCCCCTCCTTTCGGGCAGGGTGGGGTGTGTGCTCACAGGGTGTGGCCCCCAAGTCTCCTCTTGGCACCCCTGGGGGCCCTCGGCTCTCCCTCCAGGAGCCTCTTTTCTCTGTCTCCCTTGGGGTCTCCGCAGAGGATATGGGAACAGGGTGTGACCCTTGTGCCCTCTCCAGTGTGAAGCCCTGGCCAGTGCTGGCCCACTCCCGCCCCGCCGGGAAGCAGATGGGCCTGTGGACATACGCCACTTGCAGTGGCTGATGGGAAAGCTACGGTTCCAGTGGCGAAACCTGATCACCAGTCAGCAGGAGCAGTGTGCCCTCCTGGGAAAGGTATTGTCACCTGAGGATTGTCCACCCACGAGCACTTACTCTCCGTGCTACAGGCTGTCGGCTCCCTCTCCCTCTGCCTGAGGCCTGGATGGACCCAGAAGTCATCAGAGGCCTCAGGCTCTGTCTCTGAGCAGAAATGGGCTCTGGGCCCTGGGGGAGCCGCTGTTGCCGGGGCCTGTTTCCGGGAGGAAGGTGCCCCTTCCTTCTGCCACATCCTGGGTGTAGGCTGATGGGAGTGGGCAGCTTCTGTAGGGTTCCTGAGGGCTGGGAAGCTCAGCTGTGGGGGCACAGCTCTCTCTTACAGATCTAGTGCGAAGTCTAGGCCGAGAGGTGCTGGACAGGGAGGCTGGGACCCCCACCAGCATAGGGCTCCTCAGTGCTGGGCCCCCCCACGCTGCACCCCTGCACCTGTGCACCCTGCATCTCTGCACCTCTGCACCCCGCACGTATGTACCTCTGCACCCTGCACCCTTGCACCTCTGCACTCTGCACCTGTGCACCCCTGCACCCTGCACCTGTGCACCCCTGAACCCTGCACCCTGCACCTCTGCACTCTGCACCTCTGCACCCTGCACCCCTGTACCTCTGCACCCTGCACCCCTGCACTCTGCACCTCTGCACCCCTGCACCCTGCACCTGTGCACCCCTGAACCCTGCACCCTGCACCTCTGCACTCTGCACCTCTGCACCCTGCACCCCTGCACCTGTGCACCTGTGCACTCTGCACCTCTGCACCACTGCACCCCTGCACCTCTGCACCCCTGCACCTGTGCACCTCTGCACCCCTGCAGCCCTGCACCCGTGCACCTCTGCACCCAGCACCTCTGCACTCTGCACCTGTGTACCCTGCACCTCTGCACCCTGCACCCCTGCATCTCTGCACCCTGCACCCCTGCACCTGTGCACCTCTGCACTCTGCACCCCTGCACCTCTGTACCTCTGCACTCTGCACCTGTGCACATCTGCACCCCTCAACCCTGCACCCCTGTACCTCTGCACCCCTGCACCTCTGTACCCTGCACCTCTGCACCCTGCACCCCTCCACCTGTGCATCCTGCACCCTTGAACCTCTGCACCCTGCACCTCTGCACCCTGCACCCCTGCACCCGTGCACCTCTGCACTCTGCACCCCTGCACCCCTGCACCTGTGCACCTGTGCACCCAGCACCTCTGCACCCTGCACGTGTGCACCCTGCACCTCTGCACCTCTGCACCCCTGCACCTCTGCACCCCTGCACCCCTGCACCTGTGCACCTCTGCACTCTGCACCTGTGCACCCTGCACCCCTGCACCCGTGCACCTCTGCACCTCTGCACCCCTGCACCCCTCTACCCTGCACCCCTGTACCTCTGCACCCCTGCACCTCTGTACTGTGCACCTCTGCACCTCTGCACTCTGTACCTCTGCACCCAGCACCTGTGCACCCCTGCACCTCTGCACTCTGCACCTGTGCACCTCTGCACCCAGCACCTCTGCACCCTGCACCTGTGCACCCAGCACCTGTGCACCCCTGCACCTCTGCACCCTGCACCTCTACACCTGTGCACCCTGCACCTCTGCACCCCTGCACCTCTGCACTCTGCACCTGTGCACATCTGCACCCCTGCACCCCTCAACCCTGCACCCCTGTACCTCTGCACCCCTGCACCTCTGTACCCTGCACCCCTGCACCTCTGCACCCTGCACCCCTGCACCTCTGCACCTGTGCACATCTGCACCTCTGCACCCCTCAACCCTGCACCCCTGTACCTCTGCACCCCTGCAACTCTGCACCTGTGCACCCTGCACCCCTGCACCCGTGCACCCTGCACCTCTGCACCTCTGCACTCTGCACCTGTGCACATCTGCACCCCTGCACCCCTCAACCCTGCACCCCTGCACCTGTGCACCCTGCACCTCTGCACCCTGCACCTGTGCACATCTGCACCCCTGCACCCCTCAACCCTGCACCCCTGTACCTCTGCA